TATTCTTATTATTGCTATGATGATGATAATGATGTTTCTGATATCTTTAATATAGAAAACCAGTGGCCTGAACATTATACACAGTCATGATCCTTTTGAGATCTAATCTCGTAAGAAACTGTAAAAACATTCCATTCAAGAGGAAAGGAAATTCATGTTTTTAATCAACTTTATGCCTATGTAAACAATGTTAAATCTTAACTTTTATTAACTTAGAATTGCTGCTTTTCTTAGCTCTAGCTCCTGGGGTTCTGAAATGTGCTAAGTATTTAAATCTATATTTTCTAATTTGTAGCATTAGCTTTTGTGACTCATTAGAAAATTATTTAAAAGATGAAATATGAAAGATTATTGGCCCCCTAAATGTGAATAAACCAATGTTTTTTTTAAAAAATGTTTTTGTAATTAAATATCATACACTTAATTATTGTTACTATGTAAGATGGTTTGAGTATATATTGCTTTTGTTTACCTTTTTTAGAGTAAGCATTCTCTCTAATATTATTTCTCAAATATTTATGTTTGGGTAGAGTGAACTAATTCAAAGAATTATGGCTTCCTGGATTTTGTGTCTTTTTTTTGTTTCACTTCCTCTCTCCAAGCTGTTCTTTTTGTTTCACTTCCTCTCCAAGAAAATTGAAACTAAAACAAAAACTCCAGGTAGGAAAAGTGATTCGAAATCCTGGCTCTAAGGAAGAAAAGTGATTCGAAATCCTGGCTCTAAGGAATGTTTCACTTCCTCTCTCCAAGCTGTTCTTTTTGTTTCACTTCCTCTCCAAGAAAATTGAAACTAAAACAAAAACTCCAGGTAGGAAAAGTGATTCGAAATCCTGGCTCTAAGGAATGCTAAATTTGAGTGTAGCTGTACATGAACCATGGACTTCAAGAAAATAGATTTCAATAAACTCAGGGCAATGACAAGAAAATGTTCATGTCAGGAGAAGCTGAAGGGAAAAAGAACTCAAGATGGTGGACATACCCTCTAAATAGAGGGTGTTAAAATCATAATCACAGCAAGGAAAAAAAAGTAAAATAGTTGAAGAAAGCCAATGTAGTTGCCCAATGATGACCTTTAAATAACAAAAAAGTTACATACAGTATGTGAAAAGAAGGGTTGGTTGGCTAGAGTGCACAGGTAGTCCAAAATTGTAGAGATGGCATCAGAAGTTCAGCACAAGCCTTGGTTGACAAAGAAGGCAAAGAACAACAAAAAAGGGCGCTTTTGGCAATTTCAGAATAAAAGTAGGTAACAGAATTAGTATACCAACTGCTCAATAAAGATGGTAAAAGCAAAGTGATAATAAAGAAAATGTACAGCTGCACATCTCCTGGTTGTTTTCTTTGACAAGAGGGTATGAGTTCCACAGCCAGTTATGAACAGTAGGCTGACTGGACCAATCATATTGTAATTATTAGTTATTCAATTTATAATCAAACTGAATAAAAGACAGCAGAATGGTTTGCCTACAAAGACAAACATAGTTTTAGACTGTTTCAAAAGTATGTTGTACCATTCCCAAATCATGGAAAGTAATAGTGCCAGCCCACCTTTCGTTCCAATCTGAATATGACAACTTAAAAGGATCCAAAAGGATTCAGGAAAAAACTGGAATAAATTCAAGGAAGGACAGTGAGG